ACACTCCCAGTAGTTTTATAAACCTGCAAAAATACTGAAAGTTCCCAAAGTTCGCTCAAGCGCAAGAAAGTTCGCTCGAGCGAACAAGCCAAAAACTAGGCAGCAACAGTTTTGAGAAACCAACTCCCCAACCTGTTTCAAACGCAATCAAGACACTCCAATAATCAAACTCAACAAGGAATAAGATGAACAAAGATATGAACAACCAAGTAATACAAGGAATCTTGGATCCAAAATAATATAGTAGTACTTTCTAGGTGCAAAGTGATGATGTTGCTGATCCAAGGAAGGGCGACTCGGGTGGATCCATGCTTTCTACACCTTTCACAGGTCACTGAGCTCGTTGGTGTGCTTGCAAAAATGTCCAACGGGGAACGGGAGTCCTCCAGTGGACCCTTCGACGATTAAGTTAGAAGAGAGGAGATTGACGGTGTAGAGAGAGGGAGAGAATAAGAATAAAGAACTTAACCTTTGATGTGTCTTGGAAGCCTCCTTATATCATTTGTCCATCATTTCCTTGTCCACTCCGACCTGTCATATTGGCCGAAAGTCTATACTTTAGCTTGCATTGTTCACGGTGAGACTGCCCGTTCCGACATGAAGGGGTTATTGCATTTAATGCTGCAAGAGCCTCATTAATGACTAATGTGTGGTGCAATAACTCTGCAGGATCTTTGTGTGCTTATGTGACTAATTTCCTTATTGACAAGTGTTTAGATGCCATTGGTTCCTGGTGCAACGTTGGGTTCTCAATGGTGTTGGGTTTTAGTGTTTGAATCATGAATTGGGCTCTAAATGGTGGGCCAAAAGCTTTTGTGGGCCCACCGATATTACAATGTATTATCGCTATCAATATAAGTTGAGTAAAGTCTACCTCTGCAATTGTTTCGAAAAAAAAAAACAAATAAATAAATAAATAAGTATGAAAAATCAACGAGTCAGTTTGGTAGGGTTCACCCAAGTGGCGTAGGAATCGCTGAATTCTTTTGTTTGTTGTCACAATGTACTCTTAACTAGTAAAAAACATTATTTTAAATTTTTCTTATGACTTTAGGTAGAATTCACTTTTAAAATCAACTTACAAAAGAAATAGTGTCTAAAATGCTTTTACGTATATAATTGAGGTTTATTTTACTCGATGTTGGATTGTAATATACAATCACCTTCTATAGTAGATATTTACGATAAGTACTCCTATCAACACCGTCTAAGAATAGCTCTTCCCTTTTTAGCAAATTCAATCAACTATTCAGTGTGTTTGGTTTCAGTTTTTTAAATTTAATTTTCAGAAAATTAAGTTTTTTATTTTTCGTATTTTTTTATTTTTAGTGAATATTTTTAAAATTTTAAGTAATTTTTTTTTACTTTTTTAGATGCTTTTTTACCTAGCTGTATCTAAAATAGTAAAAAATATTTGTGAAAAAATATTTTAAAAAATTAATAAGTACACAAAAATACGAAAATATACTAAACTTTTGTATTTTGTAAAATATTTTTTGGTATTTAGTGTATTTTTTAAATATTTTTTTTCACAAATATTATACTTTTTAAGTGTATTTATGTTAGGTATGTCTAAATTTTTTTTAAAAAAAAATGCTTAAAATATTAAAAAATTTAATTGAAAACCTTAAAATACGAAAAATAAAAAAATAGAATTTTCTGAAAACTGGAACCAAACAAGTTGATTAGTACTCGATATCTTTTTAAATGTCTTAATCCATTTTATAGGTCACCACTCCATGGCTCAAATTGCAAAGCCGCACCCATCCAATTCCTACTCGATGTGATGCCTAATTTTGATAACAAATGATACAAACCCTTTAGTAAACTCCAGTCTTAATAATTGGCTAGCAAAGAGGGGTAAAGAAGGAATCCAGATCCTCTGCCGCGTTCTCCTGCGGCGGTTCCTGCGGTCCCCCAAAACGACGTCGTTTTGGGGCAAATTTTCAAAAAAAAAAAAAAATGTCAAGAACCAGAACCAGAACCAGAGAAGGGAAGAAGAAAGAAGAGAAGGCAGAGGAAGAACGAAGCAGTGGGAAGAACACCCATTCAAACACCCATTCAAGCATTCAAACATTCAAACAACCATTCAAAATTAACAACCAAATGATAAATATTAACACTGGGTGTTCTTCTGGGACACATATTAAGAAACAAAACTAAGATATATGTATATATATACATATTAACACTTTGAACATCCAAATGTAAATCAAAATTAATTAAAAATTATATCAATACAAACAAAAGTAAAGAATTTGTTCCTCTCCTCTTTGATTTTGGATCTCAAATCTTTCATAGAGATTTTGAAACTTTGCTTTTCTTCATAAACCCATCTTTCTCCATTTCAGATCCAGGTTGAAACCAGGGGGAAAATCGACGAATGGCAACAAGGATGACCAACGAACTCCCTCCGGTACATCGACGGCAAAGAAAAGAAGAGAAAACATCGAAATGGTTGCTGGCCATGGAGATCGAGAGAGAGAGAGAGAGAGAGAGAGAGAAAGAGAGAGAGAGAGAGATGGGGGCTCGGGGCTATGGGGGTGGCGATGGCGACTGACAGCATCCATCAAATTTTTGTATTATAAAAATATATAAAATATTTTCTTAATATTTTTTATTTATGAATAATAATGACTTTTTTTATTTTTTGTGTAACTTTTTTATTTTTTAAATTATTTTAGACTTGCCAAACCGGCCCCAAATGATACAAACCCTTCAGTAAACTCAGTCTTAAAAATTGGCTAGCAAAGAAGCATGAAGAAGAGGCATAAATCACCCATGGTGAATTTGACGCGGACGTGACCAAGATAGACCTCAAGCATTCTTTCTAGCCCATAAATACAATGGGCTTAAAAATTCTGTTTAGGCCAGCTTCAGAATCGTATATCCGATCTTTTGTGATTGTTCAACAAGCTCTTGGTCAATAAGCTCTGGTTTGATTTAGTTTTTGAGAAAATTTTATTTTGCCTTTTCAAATTACTATTCAAAAATCAATTTAACTCTTATTTTTTAAAAAATATTAAATTTACACTTAAACTATTTATTTTTGGATCAATTTTACCTCATGTTCCATTTATAATCAAATGGAAGTTATTGATGTGGCACCAAAATTTCATTTTACTCCCAAATTATCTCTAAAATATCAATTAGACCCTTAAACTTCTTTTATTTAGGGATCTAATTAATATTTTGGAGATAGTTGGCAAGTAAAATGAAATTTCGGTTCCACATCAGCAACTTCTATTTTATTAGAGACAACAATCGACGGTGGGAGTAAATTGATGTAAAATCAAAAAGTTTAGCTACAAAATTGATATTATTAAAAGAATAAAGGTTGAATTAATTTTTTAGTGATAATGTAAAAGTAAAGTGAAATTTTCTCTTAATTTTTTTTATTACAAACTATATACTAATCAAGCTTTGTAAGTTATCGAGACATTAATAATCCCTATTGTGAATCCAAATTATATTGTTATTGTTATGATTTAAAACTAGGATTTTTTTATTTTTATTTTTTTATTTTTTTATGATCGGGTGTTCGAGTCAACTTATACTTAACTAATTTTGGTACTAATGCAAAGCGCCCCCTTCATGTCGATCGGGAAATCTCTAGCAGAGCCTCGAGGGTGTGGTCCCAAGGAGTCGATAACACTTAGTAAGAGTTGAACCTAAAGGAATACACCCCCAAACCCTAAGTTACACCCACTAAGCCAACCATTAGGTTTTTAAAACTATGATCATCACCACAGATAGCTTGCCCAATTCATCTCAATCTCAGTAGTGCCTGGTTTAATATCAGGCTACACTATTATTTTATTATAACATATGTTTGTTATTTTGTATAGGGTTATGTATCATGCTTTGTTGAGAAATTTCATGCTGGTAAGTGATCTCATTTTGACTTATTTTGTGTTATATGTAACTTTTAATAAAACTTTAAGTTCACGTGATTTTCGATATCCAATCGACTTAATTTTTTATAGATATGATATACATGATAAAATTTAAAATGTGAACAGTTCAAATTATCGAAATTGAGTCCAAAAATAGGCCAAATAACCCACCAAATAGCGAGCCAAGAGAGAATTTTTGCTCAAAAAATAAAAAAATAATATGACACAAAATAAATTAAAAGTCAAAAAGTGACACATATCTATTTTGTAACACTTATCTTTATCCTCAAAATTAGAATACTTTTCAATAAACAAGATTTGAATAGCTTATTAATTAAACCTTATCCTTATTACCTCGAAATTTGTAGTTTTTAATTTTAAATTTTATTGATGCAATATATTCAACATTTTACTATGAAATTTAAATCCATCTAGGCCACGTAAGCAAGAGCACCTTAAAGATCACTTTGGGTTGTTTTGAAAAAGTAAGTTAAAAGCTGATTATTTAATTTTTTTAAATTTTATTTTAAAAAATATGTGAAAAAATAGGAGTAAGGATTCTCTCCCTGGATTTTTTTTCTTGGCTCCCTATTCGGTGGGTCATTAAGTCCACTTTTAGACCTAATTTTGATGATTCAAACCGTTTATATTTTAAAATTTATCATGTATATTATACTTGTAAAAAATTATATTAATTAAATATTGAAAAAACTAAAAATCGTTTAATAAAAAAATTTAATAAATAATAAAAAATAAATAATTTTATTATTTAATAAAATTTTTAATTTACGTAATTTTTGATATTCAATTTTATTTTTATAGGTATAATATACCTAACAAATTTTCAAATATCAAAGATTTGAATTATTAATATTCAACCCAAAAGTTGACCCAATAATCCATCACATAAGAAATTAAAGTTTTGTTTGTCATCTACTATATAATCCATCTTTTTATCTTTTTATCTTTTTTTCATCACATCACCTCTCTACTTTTCTGCATATCTTTTCGTAAAAAGACAAAAAATACACTTTTTTAGTACACCCCAAACCAACCCTAAGCAAGGGAGTGAGGGGATCCTTGCTCATAAATACGAACCACTGCTACAACTCGGAAATATTAATAAACTACACACTCCAAAATCTCTCTCCCAACCAATACCAAAGAAAACCAGCAGAAGCAGCAGCACCAGGACCAAGAGAGGAGGGAACAAATGTCGGTGTCGGTGAAGGAGTGGTTGAGCGACACGTGGAGCGACCTCAAGGACGACCTCATGGAGGAGCGGAGGAAGACGCTCCGGCGGATATGCAGTGGAGTCCTGATCTTGAGCGTCATCATCTTAGTAATCGTCCTCCTAATCTGGGCCATCCTCCAGCCCAAGAAACCCGACTTCATCCTCCAAGACGCCACCGCCTACGCCTTCAACGTCACCGCACCAAACTTGCTCACCTCCAACATTCTAGTCACCATCGAATCCCGTAACCCAAACGACAAGATCGGCGTCTACTACGACAAGCTCGACGTCTCCGCCATCTACCAGAACCAGCAGATCACCTCCTACACCGCCATACCACCCACATACCAGGGGCACAATGAAGTCAACGTTTGGTCTCCCATGGTGTCTGGCGTCAACGTCCCCGTGGCCCCATACAACGGCGTTGCACTCAGCCAGGACCAGGCCTATGGAACAGTCTTGCTCACCATCAAGATTGAAGGACGGGTTAGATTCAAAGTTGGCACCTACATCTCTGGCCGCTACCACCTCTACGTCAAATGTCCCGTCAACATCGTCTTCGGTAACTCCACTGCCGGCGTCGTTGTCGTCAACGGTATCAAGTATCAGCTGGCCCAGAGCTGCAGCGTCTCCCTTTGATCATATAAGATCATGGATCCTCTTCCTTAACACGTGTGTACTCGGAATATTGAATAATTTTTTTTATATTTATTAGTCTCTTTTTATAAATATATATATTTGTGGTGGTATACCTAGTTAAATGGTAGATTTTCTTCATTGAATAAACAATATATACAAGAGAGACAAAATAGCAAAATTATCAATATTGTAACAAGTTAAAGTTGTATTAGATTTTTCCAATTTACAAGTTTCATGATCGAGAAATATTTGTATTTTTGGAGAAGAGAAGTGAGAAGTCGTATTTGTAGTGGAGTGAAGTTTGTGGTGTCACCTTCTTTTATATTCTTGTGTGGTTTTGATTTAATCCTATATGTATTGGGGAAATGGTTTCAGCTTTAAGGTATGCCTTTCATTTTATTTTATTTTTCTAATATTTACTCTGTTTTTTGCGTAGGTAATATTTATTTAGGAAAATTTAGCCATAAGTCCTAGTTTTTGAAACGTTGAATCATTTAGTCCTAAAAGTTTTCTTATGCTCCATTTAGTCCCATTTTTACATCAACATGATGTGAATAATGTAAATGATCTGATGTTTCATTCTATAATTTCAAAATTTATTGAAATCTGATGAACATTATATGTTTTTCATCCTATATTTTCAAACATTATTGAAATTTGATGAACATTAGATGTTTGAAATCCAATGTTTGTAACATGAATCTGATGTTATTAACATTGTATCTGATGTTATTAACATTGTAATGGGACCTTTCAGTCTATAAGAAAACTTTTAGGACTAAACAGTGCATAAGTTATTAATTTGAGATTTATTGGTGCATCCCCTTGAAATTTTATATTTAAATATTTTTAAAATTTTAATTAAAGTGATCAATGCTACATATATTACAATAAAAGTTACGATAGAGGCAATTATAGAGTAATCTCAGCCTCGATTCCTGAATCAATAGAATTGAAATATTCAGCTCGTTACTAATTTTTTTTCTAATTCCGACCAAAATCGAGCTGATTACATTTACAAGATACACGTATTTATTTATTCTACAAAACAAGAGCATCTTTGATATCCGATTAATATGATTTTTGGTAAGCATGAAGTACTGAACAAACCCTACAAAATAGACGGTTTGAATCACAAAAATAAGGCCATAATACAACTCAAATGGAGACACCACAGTCACTGCTGTGCTTCACGCACAGCAGTGACCCCTTATCCCTTAATTTCTAATCTCAACTCTCTCATGACTTTATTAGTCCTATTACATTGGGAATTACTAGTAGCCATGCTTGGTACAACTTAATTTCAGCTTATTTCAGCTTTCAGCTTAATTTAAGCTATTTTAATGTGTTTGGTTTGACTTAACAATACAGCTTATAATTTTTTGTAAGTCAGAAATCAACTTATTCTTTGAGTGCGGCAGGAGAAGCTTAATTTATAAGTCAGAAATCAGCTTATGTTCATAGTTATAAGCTATAAGCTGTTAAGATATAAGCTATAAGTACTTTCCCACAACTCTACCAAACATAAGGAATAGTTAATCTGCTTATTTATGTCCCTAACCAAACACTATTTGAGCAAATCTCACAGATTATTAGTCCAATCTCTCTTCCTAAAAAGTCAAACAAACATAGCTCAATAGAGTAATTTTAGGCCAAGTTTGGGAAGACTAAAAAAGTGCACTTTTTGTCTTTTTGGACTAAAAAATTGAGGTTGAAAATATGGATGTTTGGGTTAACTTTTTGACTTTTTATTGAAAAATGTGTAATAAAAAATTGTAAAAATTGATTTGTAGCAAAAATTTGAATTGGGAGTTGTGCAGCCGTAATTGTTGATTTTGGTGAATAGTGTTAAATTTTTAACTTTTTGAGTAACTTTTTAACTTTTTGACTTTTTTTAAAGTCCCCAAACTTGGCCTAAGTATCAAACTCATCTCCATAGGAGTTGAACCTACAAATTCATACGTGGTGCAACACAACCACTAGGCCAAATGGCTTGATTGACTTGTTTCTCAATTTTGTTGTCTTTTTTCTTTCTATTTTGCCCTTTCTATATTGGATTTGGAGTGGAATCTGGGAATACAACTGAAAATCAGCCATCTTCGAATCAGTTTCATAGTAAATTTTTTTCCCAAGATCCTCTTTTTTTTTATCAAAATATCATAATTTGGACTATGACATAGCCTCCGTTTGGGAAGTGGGTTGGCTTTTTGGCTATTTTAACCTGGGCTATTTTAGCCTGGTTTGGGAAGGGCTTTTTGGCTTTTTGACTTTTTTGACTTTTTTGTGAGAGAGGATTGTAATGATTATGGGTTGGATTTGATGTTTTGTTTTTTGTGGCTAAAATAGCCTATTTTGTTTTTTGTGACTATTTTAGCCCCAAACCAAGTTCCCAAACAAAGGCATAGTAAATAAGCATGATTGTCTCAAACATCGGAGGGCATCAAAACAGTCCAGAGTAAAGATATGGATTAGAATGCGTCGTGATTTGATATTGGAGATCGAAAAGAAGTCATGTAATTTGGGAATAGAAGAAACTGTGCTTAACAAAGTTAGATAGAAACACACACACACAAACAACCTCAAGCAATTACAAATCTTACCTACTGATACGAGACAGAATGATATTATTGTGCCACATATTCCGAACATCAATATTATTGAGAAGTTCTCGAAGAATTGCTTTTTCTTCACTTGGAAACTATAACCAAACATGAATTCAACAGATTAAAACCCAAGGCTAATCACAATTAAAGGGAAAATAAAAAGTCACACTTTTAACTAGATTTACAAAGAGGTAACATCTCAAACACTTGGTGGAAAGTATACTACAGTGAGAACAAAATCCATTATATCCATGGATTCACCAAACTTTCTTGGCTAAAGAAATTCCATACATATATGTATATATCTGTGCAGAGAAGAGAGAAAGAAATGTTACCCAGCATTGAAAATGATTGGAGGAAGCAAATAGATGAAGAAAAGATCTTCACTGAAGACCAGTAAGCGCGAGCTTTGGCATTTAGTGATCAACAATACCACTAACCCAGTTGCCAAACCCTAACCCCCATAGACATAATATTAGATATGTGAATCAAAAAACACACAAAGAGGCCAAACTTGTTGAAACCCATCTCAATTATTGACTATACAAACCAGAAGAAGAGCTGTGATTGATTCATTAGCCCACCGGTTCTCTTCAAGAAGGTGACCGATGACAATGCAAGCGCAGAGGAGTGTGATGAACACCGTAACGGCAATGACAGTGTCCGTGTTGAGAATTGATGAGGAAGTGGGTAGAGAGAGGAGGAATGCGAAGGTTTCAGAGATGGCCATTTTTTGCTAGTTGTTTTCTCTGAATTTAGCATTCACAATTGGGTAATTATTAAATAAATGGGTACAACAAAGATCTAGTGAGAAAACTTTTGTTGTCAACAATTAAAATAAGGTGAAGATGATGATGATGATTGGTGTCAAAGCTTCTGGCTGTGTTTTGATTTTAACGTTGTTTGAGACTTCCAGGGGGTGAGGGAAGAACGGTAGTTGGATGATTTTTTGGGTTCTGCAAATGATGACAGTTTTGATTGTTGCACTCGGCATGTGTCACTTGGCTATTATGCCACGTGGAGGGTTAAAAAGTTGGGGTTAACCGTAGAAGTACTATTCACTTTTCTTGAGTTTTACAACTTTCAAAAAAATCTACTTTCTTATTTTTCGTATTTTTTTTAATTTTTACTAAATTTTTTTTATTATTTTAAGTAATTATTTTTAATTTTTAGACACACTTAGGCCTAGTTTGGGAAGATTGAAAAAAGACAAAAAGTCAAAAAGTCACTATCCTATTTAAGTCACATCATCTTATTTAAGTCACATCACCTCTCTAACACATCACTTCAAATCCAATTCAAACCCAACTCATATTTCATAAAAAGTCAAAAAGTGCACTTATTTAGTCTTCCCAAACTAGGCCTTAATATAAATACACTTAAAAAGTAAAATTTTTGTAAAACAAATCTTCAAAAAATTTACTAAATACCAAAAATACGAAAGTTCAATACATTTTTCATATTTTTGTATATTTATTAATTTTTTAAAATATTTTTTTACAAATATTTTACTTTTTAGATATATCTACGTAAGATGCATCTAAAAAAATATAAAAAATATTTAAAATTTTAAAAATATTCACTAAAAACAAAAAAAAACACGAAAAATAAAAAATTCAATTTTAAAAAAAATTAATTTAAAAAACTAAAACCAAATAAACTAAATTTTTTTTTTTGAATGACTAGATTTTTAGGTCAATTTACGTCCATCTAGACTAATCTCGAAACTCATATAAAATACATAAATCGGATAAATTTCAAACAAATTCCATAAACACGACTCCAAAAAATTTATAAAAGCTAGTGAGAGTTGAACTGACTTATTGAAAATTGTGATTGGTGGGTTGTATTGTAGTGGTTGCACTATTGGAGGCTTCAGGGTTCATGACATGTGTAGTGAGTGAGGCCGTTAGTTGGCGGCTTAAAATTTTTTAAATACTACTTGTTTGGAAATCTTTTTGACTCTGATTGGAACACGTTGCAGCTCAAATATGGCTATGGCATGTCAGCTGTCATTGCGATAAAGTGCGCTCATGTTTCTGGTCGCTTCGAAATTTCAAGATTATTAGGTAGAGAAATATTGATCAAATTAACAAATTTTATAGAGTAAATTATAAATATATATTTTAAAATTTGTTTAAAATATGAATTGTTTTATATTATTTTAAAAATTATATTCTGTCTATTGAAATTTTTATTTTTATAACAAATAACCTCTTTTGTTAATAAATTATCAAATTAATTAATAATTTTTAATGATGTCAAAAATTTATTTTAATTAATAATTCAAATAATTTTATTATTATTATGTAGAAGAGCAGTTAGTAATTTTATTTTTTCAATTAATTCTATTAAATAAAAAATTCTAATAAAGGAATATTTGTAATTTTTCAAACTACAGAGGACAATCTGTCGTTTAAGTAAATCCCAAGAATGTATTTGTAATTTACTCAATTTGATAAAACTCTTATTCCGGTTTTAGCAATCAGTTTTTTCAGTTAAAAAAGAAAAAAAAAAAAGCAAACAAGAAAAAAAAAAGTTAAAATATTATATCATATACATTAATCAATATTTTTTTTTTCTCACAAGTGTCTATTTAATTAAAAAAAATTATTCCAAACCCCACAACAAACACCCCAATTTTTTTTTTTTTTTGTGGCAATGCTACGGATTCATTTGGTGTGATTAGTATTTTTTTAACTTTATAAAAAAATAAAAATCATTAAACAAATCAAGCTATCAAATGGGTACTCACTTGGGTACCATTATGCAATTTTACTTTAGTTTGGTTGGTGAAATTTCACAATTTTGGTCAATCTTTCATTGACTTGGACTGAAAGTTAGATTCCCTTTGTGTACTTGTTTTTCATTGGTTAAACAAAAAGTAAATAAAAATATTTTTTTTTTATTTTTTTAAAAATGGCTTGTCTTTAAAAATTTTGTAAGATAATTTTCATAAAATTGACTTTTACTTAGGCTTTATTTGGCGTTGGCTTTTGATAAAATTGGCTAAATAAGTTAATAAGACAAAATATTACATCCAAATCATAATCATTTTATTTTTTCTCTCACAAAAGTTAAAAAAGCTAAACCAAACAAATTTTTAGTCCCAAGATAAAGTAGCCAAAAAACCAACTAGAAAAGCCAATTGCCAAACGGCAACTCACTACATTTTCAAAAATAAATATCTTAACTCACTAAAAAATCATTAATAACACTTTATTGAATCAAAATTTCTCTTTTTGGCAATAATTTTTTTTTTCAAGTGTTAACTGTAGTTTTTCATGCTCCTCGGAGGGGTTAGTCTCCTCGGGTACGATAACCCTACAGTTTGAACTCACGTGGTTTTAGATCTGGTTTCACAAGTATAATGTGAAACATAAAAGAAGAAGAAGAAGAAGAAGAAGAAGAAGAATAAGAGTCCAAGTCCGGCAAATCTTAGAAAATCCATTTATCATCAGAGATGCCAAAAATAGACTGCATTGTTAGGTTTCAGAGTCGCTACCTAAATATTTTTAGAAAATTTAAGAAACCTGTGACTCGTGCCAAAGACCACTTGTCCGTCATAACAAAAGTGTCTTGGCTTGGAACTTAGGTACGAGAGGGGAAGGTCATGAATTGAGCACCCCTCCTTATCCGATCAAAGATTGGCTTTTACTAATTATGATGTGATTTTTATGTACAGTATATGCTTATGTTCTGATTATTATTGCTAACTTACTATGTGAGGCACACAATTATAGACTACGTTACCCACTTTGGAATGCTTTGATTTCATGTTTGTTTGAAAAGAAGTTTAAATATGTGCTACTTGAAAAAGTGAGCTCATATGTACACTAATCAAATTCATCCTAATTTAAACGAAATAGCCTTCATCCATAGGCATTCAAAGAGATATTTTAAATAAGCACGTAGCCTCTTAGTAGTATGCTTGATATGACAACACAAACACTCATGTAACATGCTAAAACAAAAAATGCTTACCTAGTACTCAACGGAGACAAGCCAAAGAGAAGAAAATAATTAGCAAAATGTATGTTCTTAATATGCAAAGTGACTAATACAATACATACAAAATGCAACTACTAGGTTCGACTTTTTTATCATGTCATATGGATCATCTTAAAGCATGCGGTAACTCATGTATTCAAGTAAGTCGAAAAATAACAATGATATTGAAATGATGAACCGAACCCAATGTATGCGCAATGGATACGAATCATGGCAATGATATGAAACTAAAAATACGATACTATATACAACCACGGTAAGCATATAAATAAATGAGAGAAAGAAAATGGGGTTGGAAGACACACAAATATTATAAGTTAGCCCTCGCATAAGAGGGTCCGAATGAATGTCCTAATTAAACTAATTATTACAACGCAATTGAATAAACTAAACTAACTAATTATTACAAGTCCGAATGAAAGTAAAGCAACTAATTAATTACAACATATGAATATGAATATTAAAGTAGCTAATCTAATGGACTCGAACAGGAGGCGAAGAACCGCATGTGCATAATTGAAAACGCCCTCCAGAAACCTCTCTGTTTGTTGCCAGGATCAGCTTTGTTTGTAGTCAGAAAATTATTCTGTTTTGGCCTCAAATTCTGCTATGTTTTGTTGTAAAAATGCCATTGCCTGTACAAAATGGGTGGCCAGTTCGCCTAAGAGAGTGGTCAGCCGTACAGAATGATGCCCGGCCGACCATTGCTTGGGAAATACCCTGCTACAACATAACTAAAATAAAGCAAAAACATATTGTTTTCAAAAGATGTTTATCCTCTCTACCCTTCCCTATCGTGAAGATGATCAAGGGAGGAGTAGATTCGATTATCAATTCATCAATTATCACAAATTTGTTGCATGACAATCTTAGAAACGATAGGATAAGAGCTTAATAAAATGGAATAAAAGACAAACAACACCTCCTCTCTATCATGGAATTACCTCAAAGGAAGGGGTAGACTCATCTCATGAATCACCAAACATCACTTAAATAGTATGGGATGATTCAAGACGCAATAGGTTTAGTATAACGTCCGACTAAATCTAACCAAATTTTATTATCTTTTTACTCCAATTTTATTAGCCCATTTTTACTTTACCTTTCCATTTGTTTATCTTTTCTTTCTTTTTGTCCACAAGTAATGATTATGTCCACTAAGTCTAAAAGCAATAAAGAGTAGCAAGCATGACTTGAATCGAAAAATGAGCTTTTCAAGCCCTTTTCTACGGGAAAAATTGCAAAAGAATGATCAAACTCATTTACAAGCGATAATGAATTCGAAGTCAAACTCAAAACGAGCGATAATGACTCCAAATCCAAACTTGATAATAAGCTATAATGAACCTTTCCTTTGTGATTTTCAAGGGTCTAACTAGAAAGTTAGTCCATTAGAAGTAATGCACCGGCAATAAAGAGAAGTATCAAACAAGAGATCACACCTAGCATAAGAGAGATGTAATGCCCTAGTAATGAACCTCTGAAGAGATTAAACCATTTAGCATGAGAGGTCTCTTTCTTATGCCTTGAGTGGTAATCTTTTGTTTTATACAACTCTTAATCAAAGAAACAAAGAAATGAGGGAGGTTGCAAAGTGCTATTGAAAAGTGAGTGATTACAATGATGTGAACATATATGAAAGTTATATATATATATAAAACAAAAACAAGAAAAAACTATTAACTCAAATGGATTGGAAGCCAAAGCCTATACACCAATCCATGAGGACTTACAACAACACATCTATAATATTCAAAGCATAATTTAACACACTAAAAAACTTTGAAACAACACAAAAACAGTGCTGAAAATCAGGTTTTTGATATGGAAAAAGTGAGCAAAAATGGGATAAAGCCAAAGGGTTTCAACCAACCAACAAGTCTAAGGAAGGGTGGCTAACCCCTCCTCTTTTTTTTGTGACTT